GTTGATGAAAATGGCGGAATTGCCTTTTGAAGATCTGGATGAGGCAACCCTTAGAAAGAATGCCACGTTGATTTCAAAAATTCTGAGGGGATAGCTGGGCTACAAGAAAAAAAAAACTGCAAGAAGGGCGCCTGATCTGTTGAATGGAGAGCAAAAACTCTGCAAGGGTGAATTTTGAAAAACATAAAAAAAAATTCAAACAGGGCTGATTTTTTTCTGTGCCAATGAATATGCTTTTCCTAAAGAATACATTTTTTAGCTCAATTAGACACCATTTTCATTTCCATCCCGAGAACTTTTGTTAGAACCCTCGGATATGTAAGCGCTACACAATAATATTGCATATATTCAGCAGCAGGTTCAGTATGTCACCATGATTAAGACAATAAGAGAATCAAAACACAGTAAAATTCCGTTATTTACAACACATTTTGTAGTAAAACATTTTCCCCTTGGTCCAGCAGTTTTCCTATATATGCGCAATCTTATAAAGTATCATTTTTACAAACTCATTTTCAGCTGCAATCTCAATTTAATTAATCTCAATTTAATTAATGTTGGCCCTGATTCTGTTCATAGACTACCAACAAATAATATAGAGATTATTTGGTACAGTAATTGGCAGAAAATTGAAAAATCCAACTCTTGAAGATTAGAACTTTATAAAAGAAAACATTTTTGTGGAGAAAATATATGATTTAAGAAAATTCACACAACATGACATATTTTCTGGAAATTCTTGAGTTATATTTGAGAATTTATGGGTAGTATGCCTTATTAATATGTTAGAAGGATGAATAGTTCTCAATCTAAAAAAAAGTTATGAATAGTAACAATAAGTACAATCCTATATATACTGAAAAATGAATAATATGATTTGGAAAGAATAAGTATTCCTTCCATATGTACTTCTGTTTTATTTTATTTTACAAGTCAAGCAACACATTTTGAAAGGCATGTTTTATGCAAGCAATACTGTATATTCAAAAATTGACTTATTCTACACATTTCTTCACAGAGACTTCAAAGTTATGACAGGTCTTGAATTATTATCTGGTGTACAGAACCACTTTACAGTGTTTATTGCACATTTTCAACAAAATTGCAGTCTAAAATGTGTGAAAACTCAAGAATCTCAGTAAAATAACTTTGCTGTTATATACAGGCAGACTCTCTCTCTTTCTCTCATCTCCCTGCAATAAAATTTAGGGACCACTTTGTTGGGAGAATTTTGTTGTAGAGAGCCCCTATGACATAGGGAGAGAACCCTTGCTATTTCAAAAATTCTTTGTACAGAGAATATTGTTGTAGACCAGATCATCACAGAGTCCATAACCTGCATAACAAAATTTCATCAGGTCCCCATGTATTAGTTAGTTGTAATGAGATTTTACTGTAGCTGAACCAACCTTCATGAGCCAGTCACATTCAGGCAATAATCAATGATATGTCGTTGCAGCACCTAAAAAATGGCCATGCATAATTATGACTAAAACAATTCTCATTTTCCTCCTCACCGGACCGAATCATTATACGGCATTTTATATACAGGGAATGATAATTCATCAAAACCGGTTGTAAACAAGTACTTGTTGAGGCACAAAACACGGCCATGCTTTTCGTTACCAGTCAATAAAAGCCCGTACCATATTACGTACCTCCCAATCTTCGTCCAACGCATCTCGTGTTCGCCGACTCGGGCAAGTCTCGAAAGCACTTCATTAACTCGTCACGCCACAATATGAAAAGGAGTCTACGCCAACGAGGGCGAAAGGAGGCATTTGTAAAGTTCTGAGGGATTTCCACCATGTACTGTATAAAACTTATTTTCCTATGAACCTATTCATGAATAGATTGCATTTTAATTTGGAAGAATTGAGCGATACAAACGGTGTTCTACAAATTGGAATGGCGAAATACGGTATTATGACGCGTCTTCATCAACGAAACGCTTATATTAAATACTGTAATTGCTTATTTTCTTGCTCAAAAATTTTTGACATGTTTAAATTTCTCGAAATAACCTAGCTTGTATGTATATATATAGACAACGTTGAGAGTGAGTAAGTAAAAAAATAATTGAAAATATTAGGAGAGCAAACAGACTTGAGAAATAGCCTTCGTAAATTTTCTTCATCGGGGTAATTTTTTCTGTCAAGTAAAAATGAATGCAGATTAATATTATGCTCTGCTTTGACAATGAAAACATGACAATCTATAACTTTCGTGATTCAAAAGACATAGATAGTAAAGCATACATTACTATAAGGGTGCTGATGCTCTCCCTCTCTCTATATATATACGAAAATCTTGTCTAGGAAAAATTCCTTCGTTTCATAAAAAATTGTTTTTTAGTCCCAAAAGGTTCTCTCCCCATCATAGGGATTCTCTATAACGAAATTATCCCTAAAAAATTTTTTAGCAACTTGAATTTTTTTGCAGAAAGAGTCCACCTGGTTTTCCAGCCATTGATGTGCCCTGTACAGGATGGACAAATAAAAAGTGGCCCAATTTTGACTTGAAATAGCTCATTGAGCTGTGGCAATGAAAAACCAACACAAAATGAAAGCTTGTTCAATTACATTTAAAATGGCATGCAGTTTTATGGCCTTGAGTGCCACTCCATGGTCACAAGAACCATTTGAACAAAAACTTTCCAAAAAATCTTATATTAGGACGCCCCTTCCACTATATAAGCTGCTGTTCTTCAACAGAGCTGTTTTTAGGAATACATGGGGTGCATGCTGACCCCATCTGAGTTTAATGAATGAAAACTTTTTTTGGATGGTTTTCATTTATTCAAATGGTTCTTATTGTGACCATGCAGCAGTGGCACTTGGGACCATACAACTGCATATCATTTGGAAGGTAATTGAACAAGCTTTGTCTTTTTTTTTCCTTATTTGCCACAGCTCAATTTGTTACTGAGCTATTTCAAGTAAAAAATTTGTTGACTTTTTCTTGGTCCACCCTGTTATACAGCCGGAAGTACAATGGTATTCTATTGTACATATTGCTGGTATTAACTTGAGGTTGAACCTTACTTTGTATGAATTATTGCTGTTTTAATGCAACTGATGAACGATCATCCTTTCTCAATAAAGCCTTTCGTTGGGTCACAAAGTTGTGATTCACACACAATATGATGATGCATCGTCTTAAGGATTTCTGATCAGTGATCACAGTTTCATAATTGTCCACCAGTTCTGTTGTAAAAAACGCGCTATGCAACAGCCCCAGAACATCCAGCAGAAAACGACGATAAAAATCCTGAAAATCTGAACAAGTTTTAATAATACTGAATCTGCGCAGCCGCGGTTCGACGTCGCAGCTACATCAAAAGAATAAGATTTTAAAAAAGTTACTTCACGAAATCCCTTTCGCGAAAGATATACAGAAGAGGATGATGAAGACGACCGACCTCATTAACATCTCCCCTCATTTACACACCACGTTTTCTCCACTGACAAACAAAGCCGCGAGGGAAGGGAATCATCGCTTGAAGAATAGCTATACGGAGTCGCGCAAAACCAGCGGGGTTCATTTCTCATTCATCAAAGCGAGTAATTCGGGTCGCCCTAAAGGTCGGCGCCTCTCATTCTTCTTCGCGTAGATACCGTGTTACATGATCGACTTCATGAGAAAATTCACCGAGAATGTTGAATAAGGCGGAAGAAAAAAAGAACACCGAATAATTATGAACGAACGAACAGTCTCGCCGCAAGTTTTGATGAGATTTTTGGAAGAGAGGCGTAATCGGGCTCTTGATGATTGGGTGGATCATCCTCGGGACAACGATGCACCACCTACCGAGAGGTAAACGGCGGGAAATCTATCAAGAAGTCGACATGAAATTGATTCGACAGGCCCACATATTATTATGGAGAGCGCTTCGCAAGAGTCGGTCAATCGCGGCATGACGATTACAAGATGATGGCTGGAAATGCTCGTCGTAATTACAACACTTGACGAAGAACGCATCAAATCTAACTTGATTTCCGGCGCATATGATAAACTGTGGAACGATCAAGCACGAATGGATCCTTCAAAATCTTTCACGCCTTTCGGCAAACTACTCACACGACAATCGAGTGGGAGATAATGTATGATATTATATAGGAACAGAATTAAATAAAATACGAAATTTCTCGCGGATTAAGACCAGGAGGAGATAAGTAACGTAGAGCCATCTGGCGGGCTATATTCACAATGCTTTCCTCATTCCTTAGAAGTTTCCTGCACAAAATTCTCATGATTAAATTCTTCAAAATTCCATGAAGAATAACAATTTGATTATTCCTCGAACACAAAAACAATGCACACTATTAAAAGCTTTCAGGACATCGAAAATTATGCAAGCAGCCTCTTTTTTTCAGAACAAAAAAACTCCTACGGTATTTCACACCAAGTGTCACTTTCAAAGCAGTCCATTATTTGGAAGAGGCCGATATCCAAAGCAAAACTTGCTGCAGCCTGAATTCATTTTGAAAGATCAAGACCATCAACCAAGGCATCTATCTAATAATGTAGTTGAAAACAAAGAATGAGTCTACACTTGACGCAGGAAATTTCGTACAAGATATGAAATAATCCCTCGTGTCTTCATAGGACTGAAGATTCGCACCTAAGAATAAGAAGAGCACAGGGTAAACCACTAAATTTCATCTTTACGAGGGAAAGATTCTGTTTCAAGAGTGGGATTAGAAAATTTTTTTGCTTTGGTATGATTTTCAAACCCTTGAAACGTTAGAAATGCGAAGGGAGAAGCAGAATATAGGATTCGGTAAGGTTTTCCGAAGAACTTGGAACATTTTTTCGAAGGCCGACACTTGAAATAAATGCACTGAAATATTAATAAACGAGCAGAAAAATTCATCACCCCGATTTCAATAAGCCTCGTGGTCATGGAACGTACAGTCAACTCCTATGACTCCATGATGCGCGATCAATTCCTAGAGCCGAGTCCTCTATCGCAACAAGAATGGAAATACTCAACTCCCTTTTCAATCAAAGCACCCTCAAGCACTGTATTGCATCATCGATCTCCAAGAAGACATCCGCGAACAATTAACCGACGGTAACCATCATAACAACACTCTCATCACTTTCTCGATCCACGGTTATTGAAAAATAAAGCAGCTCTGAAATAAACAGCGCAATGCACTTCGTCTCGACCGGACAATCATCAGCTAAACAAACTGGAAGATTACAATTTCAATAGGAAGCAGTTCCGATAAAAAGGCTTGCGTCATTTCGTCAATTCATCGATGTCCAGGGAATCAAGACTCAATCTTTCTTCTTATTCTTCGCTGGTTTCGGTTTGGGCGTTTCTTTCGGTTTCGGTGACGCTGGGGGCTTTAATGCTGCCTTAGATTTGCTTTGGGATGCATCCCCACTGCCATCTGAAGGTGCTTGCGGCTTCTGGTCGAGGTCGTCACCTGGAGATCCCTTTTTCTTCTGTTGTTTTTCCACGACACCCTTGCCCACTTTCAAAGGAACGTCGGGGACACCGAGATGGTCTGGGATTCCTCCAAGGAAAATGGTGCATCCGAGATTTTCGAACGGAGCGAGAGGGTCGTGAATCCCCAACAATAATGATGAAAGCTGAAAAAGACGTACACAAAATTTAGAAGTTTCAAGATCATCACTAGAGCTAAGGTATATAGCGAGATTCACAGAAATTCTCGAATATGAAAGCGAAACTACTCCTCGAATAAATTACATTCACTCATTAGTTGTCCTGCGGAGCAGCTCTCCACCACGTCATCGGAGAATAAGATTACAGTACATTTGTTTCAAAGTAGATGTCATCGACTCATCGGTACAGGTTTGTTCATGATAATTAAGATCTGAATGTTACGTTGGATTGCATCCGTCGCTTTGCATTAATTTGGGTATGACCTGGAAAATGAGTTCATTCAGTTTTGACTTGAGATGATGCATTAAGACAGTGAAGATTTACTTCTGTCAAGTGGCGATTCAGTCAAGTTCGTACATTGGACAATTGGGGTTATCAAGGCAATACCTAGAGGAAAACTCATGCATTTTCGTTATGCAACATCGTAAGTACTGTTCGAATGAGATTTTAGTCAGCATTTACCTTGTAAAAAAAGCACTGTACTTTAATTTATTAACCTAAGTACCAAGCACCCTGGAACAAAATGAAGTAACTTGACCTGCGGAAAAGACCTTCAGGTAATGGAAAATGATGGAAATAAAATTTCAAACACAAAATTGCAAAATTTGAATTTTTAGAGAAATTGAATATCCATAGAAAAATTGAAGGTGAATTCGAATTCATCAGCGATCCTAATCCTTACTCTCAATCGTTAACTCTTAATCGTTAAGCCCACAAGAATTTCGATAAATTTTGCACATCAGTAGGATGCGCACCCCACTTCTTGGTCCCCCGATAATAGGGGTAAAAAGTGCGCAGGGCAATCAAGTAAAAACGGTAGCAACAAGCACAAAAAACATCTCATATATCACCCGTAGTTTCTCTCAGCAAAGAAATTATCGGTGGCTTTCATTGAGGATTAGGGCCGATTATGCTCGAGAGTCAAGAGTAGTACACTCGGCACAACGGAATTATTTCAAAAATGAGTTTAGAAATTACAGAGTTCATTCGCATTACCCCTTTCTCGTCTTCAATGACGAATAAGAAAAACTCGCCACCACAATTTAGGAAGAGAATTCCATCATCGAGTTCGCGCAGTTTTCCTGATTATCCAGCAGATCCTATCGATAATGTTCATCTTTTTGGTTCATAGCTCAAACATACCTTGAAATACACAAGGAACACCATTATACCGAAGTATACTACGTGGTGCGGGGCGGAGATCAACTCGGTTTTTTCTTTGACGAGGAAAATCGCAGCCGCAAGGGCAGACAGCTTCGTGGGACTAAAAAAAAATGCGCAAAATTAGACGAAGCGAATAGAAAATCATCTCCCACCGGGAAATATCGGATTTCCTGAATAAAATAAAACGCTGTTCAGATTTCATTCAAAATTAAACTCACGCGGAAGGTCTGAGGGTCTCCATCACATCCGGAGTCCAGATACCACGACAAAGCCTCTCCATCACCTTCATGAAATTTCCTCCGTTCCCTACGAAACATGTCAAAATAATCAGGATGAGTTTTCATTCATCGGCTATAACATAACACACCTTTCAGGGTACCAACGATCAGAATGGGGAGGTAACCTTGGGGATAAAGCCTCGAAGCATGGACGACACCGTCGTTAATTTTCTTGCACCTATAAACTTCCTTCATCACAGCCAGCACACACTTGACAGGCAGGATACTGACGATATAATATCCAACGTCGAACGGAGCATAAAAAACCATGTACCTACAAAATATACAATGATCAGCTTTTGTCAAGGTGAACGCAGCAAAAGACCAAAAAATTTTCAGTACTAGCGCAAATAATCCAAAACCAATGCAACATACCACACGGCTGTCGCAACGTAGAGTTGATCTGAAGTCTTGAATACAGAGAGTAACGGCTCGCCCAACAGGAATGCAGTTAACAATGACCCCGAGAAAATGGAAATCATGCAGGAAATCCAGCATGCAAATGGGTGAAGTCGAGAAAACTTCGCATTACCTAGCATCGCGAAGTTGAAAAGTTACTTCTCCGCTCTAACTAAAAATTGGGATTCAAGAACTCACTCTTGTCCAATTCGTCTCGTATATATAAGCACGTAATAGCCGAGTGAGCAACATCAAAAAGGGGAAACATTTTCAGCTTCACGACCTGGTTCGCCAGATCTATCACACTTTGTAAATCCATGACTGAAGGATAACACAATCGTCAGAAAGACTTCCTGGAATTGCGGAGATTAGCAGTGAGTCTTCTAGCAAAAGGAAACGGCTATTTCGCAGTCGAAAGAAGATATATTCGCAGCACGACGTAGGAACATTCAAAGCATAAAATGATTTCTACAGATATGAGTGCATTAAAAATAGGATAAGTCGATCAGCATGGTCCACGGGCTTTCCAGACGTTCACATTCCCCCACGAAGACGGAGGACAAGATGGAGGGTTGACTCCTTCTGGATATTGTAGTCAGACAGGGTTCGACCGTCCTCAAGTTGCTTGCCAGCGAAAATCAAACGCTGTTGGTCCGGAGGAATGCCTTCCTTATCCTGGATCTTGGCCTTCACGTTCTCAATAGTGTCAGATGCCTCGACTTCCAGGGTTATAGTTTTTCCTGCGAATGATTCATTCAATACAGCATTACTCAACCACACACCAGTTTCTCAACAAGTACACGTACCAGTCAGAGTTTTCACGAAGATTTGCATACCACCGCGAAGGCGGAGTACCAGATGCAACGTAGATTCCTTCTGGATGTTGTAGTCAGATAGGGTGCGGCCATCTTCCAATTGCTTCCCGGCGAAGATCAACCTCTGCTGGTCTGGCGGAATACCTTCCTTGTCTTGAATCTTAGCCTTCACGTTTTCAATCGTATCAGAGGCTTCAACTTCCAGAGTAATAGTTTTCCCTGTGAGGAAGAAGAGTTTAGAATTCCTGCAACTCTTTACCATAGTAGTGGAACTCACCAGTCAAGGTTTTAACAAAGATCTGCATGCCTCCACGAAGACGGAGCACCAAATGCAACGTAGATTCCTTCTGGATGTTGTAATCTGATAGGGTGCGGCCATCTTCCAGCTGCTTTCCAGCGAAGATCAATCTCTGTTGGTCTGGTGGGATTCCCTCCTTATCTTGTATCTTGGCTTTGACATTCTCTATGGTGTCCGAAGCCTCAACTTCCAACGTGATGGTTTTTCCTGGAAACGAGCGATATTCACCGTTAGATGTGGCAAAATATATTTTTCACGTAAGACTCACCAGTGAGGGTCTTGACGAAGATCTGCATGCCACCACGGAGACGAAGAACAAGATGGAGAGTAGATTCTTTCTGGATGTTGTAATCGGACAGAGTCCTTCCATCTTCGAGCTGCTTTCCAGCAAAAATCAAGCGCTGCTGATCTGGAGGAATGCCTTCCTTATCTTGGATCTTGGCTTTCACGTTTTCGATGGTATCCGAAGCCTCGACTTCCAGCGTTATCGTCTTGCCTAAAAGTAGTCGAATCTCAACACACGAACTTTCTTTCAAGAGATAAATATTTCATACCAGTGAGAGTCTTCACGAAGATCTGCATACCACCTCGCAAACGGAGAACCAGGTGCAAAGTAGACTCCTTCTGAATGTTGTAATCAGACAGAGTCCTTCCGTCCTCGAGCTGTTTCCCAGCAAAAATCAGTCGCTGTTGATCTGGAGGAATGCCTTCCTTATCCTGGATCTTCGCCTTGACATTTTCAATCGTGTCCGATGCTTCCACTTCGAGGGTGATGGTCTTCCCCGTCAACGTCTTCACGAAGATTTGCATATTTAAAACGTATCGACACTTTTCGTCACGGAATCGAGAATACGCTCAAGAGTAATTTCTGGCGGAGTAATTCGCTCTGTTGAAACAAGGGCAAGATTTATAATTCGATGGCGAGTGAAAACCCGATGAAACTTTTCGTAAACAACAGGGCACACCGTCTCACGCAATTCACCATTCCCCTACACATCTTGAAGACTCACGTCCTAGATTTCGCGCACCTCTACTCAGTTCCGAATTCAAGAGGACGCTCAACTAAACATTCTTGTTGACTGCAGTAAGGTTTCAGCTTCCAAGGATAAGTCACTCAACGAATGCAACACACATTTACAACACAAGAACCCAACACATTCAACGCCTGAGTAACAATGCTTTGTTCCATTGGAATGGTGGACGACTAAATAACCTCCAGCGAGGAACAGCTGAATCACTGAACCGTTTGCATAGCAACTGCGCCAACACGTCCGCCCTGTCGTCACACGACCATTAGATCAGCTGTTCTAGAATGATCGAGAAACACGTCGAATACGCGAATGTGGAGTGCATCCGCAATCGGGTTCTAACTCGCATAAGATAAATGAAATGAATCAGCAATCCTGAATGGATGATTAAATTGGTTCTACCTCGGAAAAAGTAAATGAATAATTATTCCCGAATATATGATATATCAACTTCTACTGTTGCTTCGTTTGGCAAGAAGTGAACAGGATATTTGGAGAGTTATGTACCTCATACAGTAACGACACCTAGAAGCAACGTAGTGGAGCTCAGGGGGATGTCCACTCAACCTAATCGCGAAATATCACGCAGTAAGACAGATTAGAAAATGGGATTCGGGGACCAGGTTGCCGTAAGAAGACCACGGTACTTCCCGTCGAGCAATGTCAGAACATTGACAATGACCTCAATATAACCACATACTGTATTTGTCGCGGTGACGGTTCTTATGCCGTCGTGACACACCCTATTAATAAATTTGAATGGTCAAGGAAAGCCTCAGACAAGTTGATTATCTTATTGTAGGGTGATTAACCAGCCAGCCACTCGATAACTTCCTCTATATACAGTAGCCACAAACGAACTTCCTGTCTGGCGGTCATCGCACCAGAGCAGGGTTGATCAACCCTGCTGGTTCTAGAATGGCAGACATACTGTACTTCTGTTTACAGAACTGTGTATGGTACCGTATATGCATCGTGCGGTGCAATCGAACCAGGAAATAACGCCACAAGAAATGGTTCCATGAATGATGTACAGTATTATAAATTTGCCTTCATGTACAGTTGAACTCCAATATGACGCCACCATTTTTCCAGAACAATTTTGGTGGTTTAAAGGGGTTGATGGTTTATGAAATGTTTCATTTTAAATTATTTTATCAAAAGTACTCAATTTTACTCCAAAAGTCATAGAGATACTGGTTTTCTGGAAACTTCGGTGATTTTCCAAAAGAATATTGCTGTGATCAATGGATTATATACTCTTTCAGAAAATTCATTTTGCTGCATCAATTTATTCAAATTTTAAGATTAGGTCAGTATATTGTTCAAATTTTTCAAGAAAAATGATCATTATTTTTTATTTTTACAAATGCAATAATATCCTTGACAGAAGTTATGATTCCAAAACAATGTTGGCGTTGTAATGGAGACAAAACCAACAGGAAATCGCACTTTTGTTTGATCACTAATACTGGCAGAGGGCGTCTTATCAAGGTTTCTATAGAATTCTATACATGGAGCAAATTTGTTTCATTAAAAATTTTGGCAGCAGTTGCCGGGGGAGGCGCTTTATTGGGGGGGGGGGCATCTTAAAGGGGTTTGACTGTACTATACCTGGAGTGGAATGCTTCAACATAAGTGGGGATGGGAAGCATGCCTTATTGAAATGATTTTGTTTTCAGGGAATACCCCCATTTTAAAAAATAAGTAAAAATGATGTACAATATGAACGCTCTCATATGTAAGGCCAGCTCTCGCTGAGTGATGCGCTGCATATTCCTGGCATTCTTGGTTATTCATGGAAAACGTCATTATGCCTGCGCATACATTACGATAAGCTGATCATCATGATTTATTCTCCCATGCTTGTCCAGTACGTAAACTGTCTTGATGCAATTGTCATCTTGATACAAAAATATTTCCGTGCAAAAAAGGTAGCACTTGCTTTCTCGCCTTTGAATTTGAAAAACTTCCTTCACACTGAAATTTCTCAGTGCATTTCAATTAATTGGCAACGTGAAAATACATGTATGTTATCCAGTAATGAGCTGTATACAAGTCAGGTTTGGAACAATTTAGTACAGTAAAAATTGAAGTTGTTGCAAAAACTGCAAGCTGTTTTTCAAAGGTTATTTACTTGAATGGTCATGGTGAGAATAATTGTTGACGAAAAATTCATTTTAGGTCTCTAGCTATCCAATAACCACAAAATTGTTTCAAGTTCCTTATAATGAATTTTTCAGTATAACGAAGCTATTTTAGTATTTTTACTGGCCCTAATGGCTTCATTGTAACAATATTACACCATACTTTAAATTCATTAAAAAAAATCAAAGACAGCCATGCAAAAGGAACAAACGCGTATTTGAACCAAAATACTGTATCTAAAAAGTATGAATGCTGAACATTTTATTTCAAGCTAGAATAGATATCAGTGCCTCTTCAAATGTTGTAATGAAGATTCCTCTAAAATTTCGTCCAGGCGTTCATTTTTATGAAAATCATGACAGCAGCTGTAGTACGACTGTACGAGCGAAGGAAAAAAATGAAATCGAAGAAATTGAGCTACGAATCACATCCATGTAATGAATATAGCATCAAGAATTATGTCACTAAAATTTGAGAAGCGCGTCTTGCACGAGTGAGGGTTTTACCCGAATTTTCAGCTCATCTAATTCAAGGACCACGTCGTTTGCATGATTTTTTGGCACTTCATTAAATAGTGTGAAGTAGCGTCACGGAAGCATACAAGTAACGAACCTCAATATGCCTCATTTGTTTGCGTATACAGAAGAAGGAACACTGAAAAAAATCACACAGCATTGCAAACGAAAGAGTTGGAACGCCTAAAATACTGTAGTAAATTTCGGATCAGAAATTAAAATTCAATGACAGATAACGGATTGATTTCCTCTGCGATGTTCTCAGCGAAGTGAATTGTTTCCTGGTCCTGAGTCTCCTGACGAGACCTTCCGACAAGAATTCATTGTTACTTACAGTGCATAGCTCGTTCGTAAGAATCACTGAAGTACTTTGGTTATAACTACATTGAGAAGGAAGTCCACCTACACCATACAACCAGTTCCGGAATAAAAGAAAAGATGGCGAATACCTTTGGTTTCCTGGGAAAATTGTATTGGGTCACAAGAACAGTTAGATCAAGCTTATAACAAGGGGCCAGCGATCAAACTAGAAATGCAACCATCACCTCAGCATATGCAGAAGAATACGATTAAAACTTCCGCGACGACCTGAACATAACAGCAATTCGAATCAATGATACGCACTTTGTTTCCTCCTAAAATAATAAAAAAAAAAGCAAAGGAGGGTCGTTTCCCTGATCCTTTCTCATCAGCAAACTTTCTTACAACAGCTACGTATCCCAAGTTTGAGACGCTCTATGAAAAATAATTTCCAACCAATATCCTTCCAACAATACTCCTTATTACCACCCGACGAAAACTGCTGTAATAAAACTGAGATGCCACTCCCTTCGTTTTGAAATATCACATAAAATTTCTTTGTCCTCTCACAATCAGTCACACGGGAGCGCCAATGACTTTTCCGCCACGTCAAACGCCAACAAAGACGAAATACTCAAGACAAATCACCTTTTTTCCTTTCTCTCATCTTCCCCATTCTAGAAAAAAATATGTATTCACGTTCCCACAGCTCCTAAAGCGCGTTTACCCCCTAACCCGAAAGCGGGACTCATTTTGTGCACATTCACCGCAACTCATCAGACTCGTTGTCGTCTTCAACGCTGATTTCTGGCTCGACAACGTTCGCCATCAACCACTGCAGCCGATCCGCAGTTCGCCGCATTTTTTGCGGATGATGGACCAGACGCTCCTGCAATGATGTCAGAGAACCTTCAACCTGCGAAATTGAAAGAATTCAAAGAGAAACATGACGAGAGAATATCGAAGATGCAAATGAAAAGGTGCGAAAATAATCACTAACTAAGATTGATAGATCGAGGTAAAATAATTTAAGCCAGCTCAAAACGAAGCTTTTCAGAACCCAACTTTGGCAAAAGTTCCTTTCTATATGCACCATGATTTTCTGAATTATGGACTTGCATGAAATTTTTAATTTGACGACGGAACACAACCGAAAATTTAGAGCCGGAAGCTAGAATTATTAATTACGAAGCATTCAGATTTTGGACTAAGCTATCCATTTCGTTGTTTCCGCTTCTGAATTTCTAATTTGCATGGCTAAAGCCGCAACGAAGAATTAGGGTTGATTTCGTTGATTAATGAGGTACATCTTTTCCCTCTTCCTACTTCAAGATATTGGTCACCTCCAAAATAAGATTTAAAGCCAAGATTTGAAATGGAAAAAAAATCCCGACTCTCCTAGAGACCAAGACTATATTTATTTTTGATGAAAAATATTTATTATCGGCATGATTTGATCGACTCATGATTCCTTAATTAAGGTCATTCTCTCCAAACCTTACGAACTTAGCAGTAGATTTCCACATAATGATAAGCCTGACATTTCAAAAATTTAGGGCCAGAACCCTCGCAGTGAGCATTCTTTACTCAATCTTCGCATTCGCTGTTATATTCTAAGAGTCGGTGAAAAGACGTACTTCTTTCAGAAGTGCAGCGGAATTCGAAATCACAATCCTCCAATGCGCAACTTCCTCCAAATGCGATTTCTCTTGCTCGCGGAACAGCCGCAAAACTTCATCAGAATCTTCAAGAGGCTCACTAGTATCATAATAAGCACACATGAAATTACATCCGACACGAATCCAGATAACACACGATCAATGAACGCACCAAAAATCCGGAATGACGAATCTCGCGAAAACTCCATTTGTCCGGTCCGCTGTCAAATTTCGCTCCAAGGCCCATAGACGGTTGAACAGCAGCACGTTGCAAACCATGAGAGACAAGAGAACTACGAGAATGACGCGCAAAAACCCTGGCGAAGGAACTGCAGTGTACGGGCTGAGGTCCGGAGAACGAGCCACCAAAGTTGACACCTCCGCATCCGGTACGACCTCCAAACTTCGATCCGGCAAACCCGGCCCGAGCCCAGAAACAACAGAGCCTATTAAAAGGATCAACATTCCTCATCAAGAATAAAACATGAAACGCGAAGAATTGTGGACGGGGTTCGGGGCGCAAACTCGATTTATCTAAATTGTACGAGGGGAAACCCACAGTGGCGAAGACAAAAATTCTGCGTCAGATTCTATCTAGGAAAATCAGTTAAGTACAGGATTTGTCTTATTCACCCATGCGTTAGCTATAGAGAAGAAAGGTTTTATATTCCCCCAGATTCAATCCTTGGCATTTGGACCTTCAGCAAAGAGGAAATAATACTGAAACAACGTTTATACTTTACGGGCTTGGTTCAAATTATTTTACGTTCGATCTGTTAGTCTACTAATTGCGCTCAAGTTTAGTCTTAGAACTGGAGCTGACATTTAATAAACCGCCACCCTTGGCAGTAAACAACTTCACTCGTTGTGTACTTCACTCGTTCCAAGAGACGAGGTATTCATCTATCAACCGTTTCCATTCAGTTCTAAATTATGCGAAACGAAAATCAAATCAAGGAATGATCAGGATTTCACCTAAAATTCGTCAATGCGCCTTTCAGGACGTGCATATTGTCTAAATCGGTCGGGTCAGAAAAGCCAGAGCGGAAATGGAAAATAAATCGACTGATCTGTCAAGCAAGATGGAAATATAATCGGGATGAATCCAAGGATAATGACCAAATCGAAAACGAGCATCTAAGCATGCTCAAGAAAAGAACACATCAATTAACCCTGTCGTGAAGTGGATCGCTGCGCCAACTTCCCCATAAGTTTGAAGATGGTCGTGGTAGAGGACAAACCTTTCCGCAGGAAACTGGCAGACTCATTGCATGCTCAAGAAAAGAACACATCAATTAACCCTGTCGTGAAGTGGATCGCTGCGCCAACTTCCCCATAAGTTTGAAGATGGTCGTGGTAGAGGACAAACCTTTCCGCAGGAAACTGGCAGACTCATCTCCAGATTCGTTACCGTCGCCCGAACCCACAGTTTTCTTTGCCAAAACTAATCTAGACTTCGTAATACTACGATTCCGAGCGATTCCCGTTCTGGTTTCCGTGCAAACTCTCAGCATGGCCATTTTCAGTTCTTCGTAGTATTCCTGCATTCCTACCCATGAGTTTTTCTCGATGAAACCTAAAAAGAGAACAAAACTATTTTTAATTTCAGATATGTTCTGGTTTCCGTGCAAACTCTCAGCATGGCCATTTTCAGTTCTTCGTAGTATTCCTGCATTCCTACCCATGAGTTTTTCTCGATGAAACCTAAAAAGAGAACAAAACTATTTTTAATTTCAGATAAAAAAAAATAAAATACTTTTTAGTTCCGTGATGAATATGCCACTACCTAATACAGTACTTTAGTGTACTACCAAAGACTATTTATAAGAATATCTCGATTTAAAAAAAAGCTTATAATCACATTAAATTCACCTCCATGCTTCTCACCAAGAAGACTCCACCAGTTCCCAAAAAACTCAAAATTGAAAAAAAAACGCAGAAAATGTTACCCCTTTTTTTGCATCAACTTCTCAACCAGTGTAAATGGATGAGGCAAGTGTCTTTCATGGTCGATTATCATTGCCGATTATCATTAATGGTCGATTCATTGCCGATTATCTTGAGCTTCGACTCCGAACATTTCTTCCTACCTTATTTGTGTTTCAGGCTTTCAGGACTACCTTCAAGTTTAGCACGATAACCTGAAAATTCTCGAAATGAAAATAAAATTTTCAAATGGACGATTATCTCTTGCAACATTTCCGAAGATATTTTATCAGTCATTGGAATTATTTTTGTTAAATTCAGGTCATTCAAAGTAATTGTAGTCTTGAAGAAAGGCAGAAATTACAAACCGTAATTCCGTTTCTCTATTTCAATATGGGTAAGCGAAGAGGCGAGAAGGTCGTGAAAGCGTATGCATGGAAAAATTTTAACCAGATCTCTCATTGGAAAAATTCGTAACATTTCTAAACTAACCATATTACAGTACTTTCGCACAAAAATTTTGCCGAAAAATTAAAAAGCGAACACCGAGAAATAGAGATAGCGAATATTCCAAAATCACCGAAACGCACGCTTTGATTTAAGTTCAATGCATATAAAAAAATCAACTCACCTCGTATAAAACCCCACACAGACTTGCGAAATTTAATTTGCGCGGTAATCAACCACCGACACTCATTGACGCTGACTTTAGAAAAGCAAAAGTGCAGCAGTAGGTAGAATGAGTCGCCGTACGGAATGTCACCGTTCACCACCTCCAAATTGATGCTGTACAAATGCCCAGGTTTACTGCAAGAGATCATTGTTTGTTTCTGTGTCACGTGCGAAACCCGTGGTCCCATCGGAGTAACCACCGGAACTTTGAAGCTCGTCGATCGTTCCTTTTCCCCCTTCTTAGCACCTTCTTCCCACGCTCCCAAAACGATATCTGCAAGGATGATAGATCGACCGATAATCCATCAACTCCCTCATTTCATAACCACATTCATTTTCGAAACACGGGCCGTTCGTAAACCTTTCACAAAGCAACATGCCACCTGTCCCAAGAAAAAACTCAAAAACATTGCGGACAATTTTATGTACAAATTTTCTCAAATATTACACGCCAACCCAAAACTTGAAGTAATTTTAAGAATTATTCCTGTCGGTTTGGAGCGAATTTCTTTAAATTACGATTTATGATATTACAGTGCAGTATTCTAAAAGAGAAAACGAACATGAAGCGATATTTCCATAATTTTCACTATATTATTCCTTTATTTACGTTTTTGACTCCCTCAGGTATGGAGATAAAAACTTGAAAATATGAATCTGTTGATTACAGTTTCGAATCTAATTTATGCGACACCCATTGAATATCTCCCTTTCTCAGTAACAAGGCGAACCGTCAACAATTGTCAAACTAATCAACTCAGACACCAGTTTCTGATTTATTGCTGCTCGGGGCAACCTTCAGAAAGCAACAGAAAAACCATCCCTGAAGACATAAAATGGACGAATATTGTTTGGCAAGTAGAAAACGTAATCATTCAGTGGGACGTAAACTTGGAATCGAAGAAAATTCATAATGCACAAACAAAATGATGGAGTAATTTCTTCGGTAAAAGTTCCATCCGATTCGTTCTGTTTTGCCAAATACAATGCAGCAGAAAAAAATAAGAATTAAAGTATCGTACTCAAAAACTAGAAGATTTGCTTAAGAATGAATTCTAGAGGATCCTCTGAAGGTAGACATTAAAGACTTACTAAAGGAATTTATGATAAAATCCTGGCATACTCACCGAATGTTTTCTTTGATGCTAAAAAGTCGAAATAAAATTCAGACGACGTGAAAAGGTACGTGAACGCTTGATCTACGTTGACCGGAAGAAGAACATCGACAAGAACTTTGTCCGCGTGGCCTTGGGTCTCCGTACATTTCACGGGTTCACTTATCACAGCTGAAAAAAACCCGAGAAGTAAATTCAGCGCATCAAAATGTACAGTATTTAAAATGGTCTGATAAGACAAGAACATAAACGCTATTGGCTTCTACGTTTAAAAAAAACACAGAAAACGCATGCATAAATCGTGAAGAATAATGAAATTGCTTTGTCAATGCTTATCAACCAAAAAAGAACAGCAGTTCGATCATTTCGATTTTAGAATCTGCGCTAATGAGTACAGTATTTCTTTCTTATCAGCAATTTTCGAAGAGCTCGAGTCTCCTGTACGCGATTATGTTCAAAAGTTGTTTGCCGATTTTACCCCAGGAGTATTTCCAATTGTCAAAGATAGGAGGGGTACCGTAAGAAATACAATACGCTCAATACTGGACCCTCCCCAGATGTTATTTTAATTTTTCCATATCCACGTTGAAACGGATATTTCGAATACCCAGAACCAGTCTGATTTTGCAACCAAATTTCTACATCAGCGAGGAAATCTTTGAAGAGTATAAAGGAAATCAAAAAATCATGCGGAAAAAGAAAACAGCTCCGAGTTTGAGGGCTTTCAAGCTGCTCTAAAACATTACACAATGCGTCAAACATTTTCCAAATCGTGGCCGCAGTTCAGGAGGAAAATTAAATTGCTAGAAAAATAAAGACTTTCAGCGCTGAATAAAATTTTGGCCCAAAAGTTTAGTTGTACAAAGAACGTTGAGATGAAATCAGATTTTCACAGTTTTTTCATTGATAAATTGAGAGGATTAAAAATCCCCTCGGAATCGACGGAAATCATATAGAATCACTGAGGTGAAGCTGATCGAGAATAAAAGCTTTCGGTTGTACTCGCAACCTACATGTTTTTTTAATCATAGGCGCACGAAATCGAGTAACCAATATTCATGCAGTATTTAAATCCCAATATCGGTACTTCGGCGTCACACTTCTCAATATTTCCTCTAAAAGAAGCAACAAATCGTGGAATAAGTAAAGGAAACACTCACCAGTATCGTTCTCCGATTTAGTCCCTTCAGAATCCGTCGATTCCGAGATGGGCTGTCGGACCAACTTCTTCGCTTGCTTGGACATCAGCTTGCCATCAGTGGATTCCGGACTCCATTTCACGGTTCGCCACTTCTTGGAACTTTCCGCATCTCCGCCAGCACCTCGCAAACCCATTTCTCGGGCAACCTTTTCGAAACAGTCTTGATTATCTTCCGGAATCTCCGCGAAGTCCTCTTGCCTTTCCGAAGCCTTCAGGTCCAGTTGTTCCGCCTTCAGGAATTCAATGTTCCATAAGAAAACGAAAAATAAAACACAAATTGTACCTTGATATCTCGAAACATCCCATCCCAATTCGAATACCCCCTTGTGTCGAGTTTTTTTTTAGATTCCTGCCTGAATTCTTTTCAGAACTACAAGTATACATTAAAGAATTCCGTAACTCTCACTGAACCAAATTTTCTGGAGGACTTCTGGTAATATTTAGGGTACCAAAGAAATAAAATAAGCAGTGCAAATGTAACATTATGTTCTTTCGGAAGGAAGTTAGTTCCTGAAATTTTCCTGATGCGAAATCTTCCATATCTCGCGTTAAAACCTACACACTTTTGGTTTATCACTCCGAAATTCAGTGAGTTTCTGAATTAAGTACACAAAATCTGTAGGACAAACCCCCATATTTTTGGTACGCTTTCTACGATTCCGTAACTGTTTCACAGAGAATCTTATCCGTTGAAAAACGTGTAGCACGACTTCGATCGTTCGATCGACGGATTTTTTCTGTTCACTCTCGAATGATCGACCAGAAACGATACAAATAGCTTTATTTTACGCGCGATTACAGGAAGATAAGACGTTTTCCTTTCTTTTTTTTTTCAAGCAGAAACTACTTTTTAAAAATCATAAATATGTCAAAAATGATTCAAAACTTACGGCGGCTTCAGCAGCCCGCATTTCTTCCAACCTCGCCAACGCCTGGAGTTCTTCAAGTGCGACAGGCGCAACGTAGTCATCATCATCGCTTGTGAGGCCAAGTTCATCGCCGTATGCACGATGTACAAGGTTCCACAATTCTTGACTAGTCATTGGCTAGGGTGGCAAAAAAGAGTTCATAATTTGGTGTCCCTGCAAACTTCGAAAGGCAACGTACTTTCTCCATTAAGGCGTTTTGCCAAACGCGAAAGATCATGGTATACGTCTTCTCTCTGGCAGCAAAAGAAGTGAAGAAATACTTTTCCAAAGTCGTTGCAATTTGGATGGCGTTTGGAATCACACGAGCGGTTTTCTCCCTGGTAACTGTCGTAATATCCTTACAACGGATACACACCTTTGGAAAACGGGTTCATTACGATCTTCATAACGAAAATAAAAATTACGGTATTATTCTAGTGAGTGACCGTCCACCATAATTACATTCAGCTTGTCAGAGAAAAAAAGAACACACAATTGACATGACTAAAAAACACTACTCTGGTGTGAAAATCACCAAAATGGCTTAGATCAGTGTTGCCCAACATACAACACATGGGCCAGATCTGGCCCACGCAGACTCTTTATCCATCCTGCAGACTTTTTTCAATGATTTTGAAGGTGGCAACCACCACTAACTAGAACATACAGTATTTTGAAACATAAATAAAAAATTCAAAATGTTGCTACACACTTCACAATTCTATGAGGATATGCTGGTGATTCAATGCAAAGCACTGAATAAAAATTGAAAACTTTTAATTTCAATTTCAGTCCCGTCTGAGTTGGGCAGAACTGGTTTAGATGAACATGAGAGAAAAAGCGGAGAAAATTCTTTTGTATATGCATCGGAGAAACGCGAAAGCTTCGACCATGGCATCAAGGAAATTGACATTCAAAATAAGTCTAACGTAAAAGAAGTTTGCATGAAATATTGCGCCTTCGTGTTCACTTTAACAAATACAAATTTGATTGTATAATTAGTATTGGAGTATGTGTAAATCGTTTCCCATTAATCTTCTGGATACGGTTACGGGGCACGGTCAATGAACTTGTGTTACAATAGATTTTTATGTGATGAAATACTGTAACACTAAAAACTCATTTCCCACGGTTGGTCACCCACTAGAACAATACCCACAAGGACTTACAATCGTTTCCCATCTGAAAATGTTCGCATAGAAACAAACATAATTTTGCGATATGTACATTCTTCCTTGAAGCAAAATGTCCCGTTGCAGAGCGCACGAATAATCTGAAATTCAAAGGAGTTACGAACGTTTTGACACTTAGCAGAAATTTTACACGAAACTTACCAACAAGCAAACGTTCGTCGTTCGGGAGATTGAAGAGCCTACGAAATGACTCCGTTTTGGTTTTGTAACTGGCACTGAATCGATTGTACCAGGCCCCTTTTCGTGATTTCTTCTCCACAGATGAGCCAACACTAACACCGGACGAAACTCGTGAATCTGATCCCTTGAGTGCGGTTAGCTCCATCGGAGGGGTGACAGAATCTAAATCCTTGTTTCTCGAAACAGACTTCTTTTGCTCCGTAGAGGATGCACTGACTGAAATCTAGAAAGATGGATTGATCAAAACTAGATTCATCTGTCGTATACCCGACTAATGCCTACATCAGACGCGCTTCTTTCCGATTCGAAAAGAAAATTATCACGGCGCATGCAAAAATCACAGCTTAGGAACCAAGACATCATTACCCCACCAAATCATGGAACATATTTCTTACGTGAAAATAAAGTCATATGCATAATCTGAACCTAATGGGATAACTACAAAGCAAATGACAGATAAGAAAAAGTTTTGAGCAGCTGGACAACGCTGCCTCTGCGTAGTTGTGTAATTGCCATCGATATAATTTTGCACGTCTGTTTTGTTCGACTCAATGTAGAATTGAATGAAGTCTATATTCGCGGGGAGTCATTGCAAGGTTTTTGGTTGCTGAATACAAGAAGGATTATCCGGCATGGGCGCACCTTGCGATCTACCCTCTTAGAAAATTGGAAGTACACAAAACATCTCAAATTTTGCAGGAACGTGGTTCACTTTGAGGGGCAACGATATGAGAATGTCACTTCAAATATATACCATTTAAAATGACTGCGTGAATGCAAAATCAACACACTCACTCCTTGATTGATTGAACTTGTTGGAGTAGATATAGATCGATGTGGACTTCGATTCGAAAGCAACGGTGAACCATCGTGAGGTTCTTGAATGACGCAAACATTTTCGTCATTCGAGCTTCTCTTCGAAAAAACCGGTGTGCGATCTTCAATGGAGGATGATTTCTCCTTTATCAAGTTCCGAGAACCACCAGATGACGATGACGTGGAAGGAAGATGCATCGGAGAGGGAGGAGGCGGCGTGATTCCACTTGAAGATCGACGGCTTTCTGCGTTCTTCGTGATCTCCGTTCCAGAAAGAAGGTTGTAGATGTCTTTCGAATCTTGAGAATTTGAGTCCGAGAGATCCAGGTTCACATCCGGGGAACGCGTTGGATCTTGCGAGCTCATTTCTTCTTTCAGAGTATTCTCGATCGATTTGCAGATTTCCGGAGAATCAACATTCATTGGTGGAGTACACCAACCATCTTGGCTGAAGGAAGTAATGCTATCATTATTTGAATGACGAGAACATAACGCTCGCATGCTTCTCTCACCTGCAATCTTCCTCGTTCCGACACTCCGGCATAGCTGAAGCCGCAGTGTTCGTGAGTTCTGCCACTCTTTCCATCATGCGGAAACCTCTACATTCAATTGTAGCGGCAACACACACACACACTCTGTACAAAATACTTCCCAGATGAAATGCAATAAGTGCGCCTGTTCGAATATAAATCGGTTTGAATCCACCAAAACAGGAGTAATCAAAATACTACCAAAAAAAGTTATTTTGAGTTTTGCATCTAACAGCACAACAAAAAAAAACAAAAAACATTTGGAGTCCTACTAGGATAGTTCCAATAATTGCCGAAGTCCAAAGTTAACAGTAACGTTTCAAAGGGTTTCAATGTTGAAGCGGAGGATTCTTGGGCTCGACAGTACTCTAACTGAAAGATTTAAGCTCACCATGCCCTTCAATTCAAAAATACTGTGCTTGTTTACTAGTAGCTTTCTGTGCTTTCAGAAGCTAAAAGCACCGACCAGGGCACCGAAGATCAAGAGATCCCAAGACTCCAAGAGGAACTAACGTGTGTTTCATCCGATTTGCAGCGCACGTCCATCACGCACAACAGCTGAAACTCCACCTGTGCGTTTCAAAACTCTCAATGTAGGTATCGCTAGGAGTAATCTCAGCTTTGCGGCGGCATGGGCACCCTCAAAGATCGGCTCGCTCAGGATCCGCTGCCAACCTCCTGGTGCTCGCGCCCCCACCTCCCAGTGCTCACGCCCCACCCCCAGTCTTCCCGGCAAGAAGATAGAGGGAGCTGAAGGCAGCTTATCACACATGGCGGCTACCGTCAATTCTGATGTTTTTCAAACATCCCTGCTCGCAGTAAAAATTTGGGTTCGTATTTTCCGTGAATCCTTGTATCTCAAATCCTGCGGAGATTATGTTGTACATTATTTTGCATTTTATTTATTTCAGTTTATGGAAGTGACTGGTCTTTTTTCATGTGTGTGCATGATTGATTCCGGNTGATCTCCGTTCCAGAAAGAAGGTTGTAGATGTCTTTCGAATCTTGAGAATTTGAGTCCGAGAGATCCAGGTTCACATCCGGGGAACGCGTTGGATCTTGCGAGCTCATTTCTTCTTTCAGAGTATTCTCGATCGATTTGCAGATTTCCGGAGAATCAACATTCATTGGTGGAGTACACCAACCATCTTGGCTGAAGGAAGTAATGCTATCATTATTTGAATGACGAGAACATAACGCTCGCATGCTTCTCTCACCTGCAATCTTCCTCGTTCCGACACTCCGGCATAGCTGAAGCCGCAGTGTTCGTGAGTTCTGCCACTCTTTCCATCATGCGGAAAAATCTACATTCAATTGTAGCGGCAACACACACACACACTCTGTACAAAATACTTCCCAGATGAAATGCAATAAGTGCGCCTGTTCGAATATAAATCGGTTTGAATCCACCAAAACAGGAATAATCAAAATACTACCAAAAAAAAGTTATTTTGAGTTTTGCATCTAACAGCACAACAAAAAAAAAAAACAAAAAACATTTGGAGTCCTACTAGGATAGTTCCAATAATTGCCGAAGTCCAGAGTTAACAGTAACGTTTCAAAGGGTTTCAATGTTGAAGCGGAGGATTCTTGGGCTCGACAGTACTCTAACTGGAAGATTTAAGCTCACCATGCCCTTCAATTCAAAAATACTGTACTTGTTTACTAGTAGCTTTCTGTGCTTTCAGAAGCTAAAAGCACCGACCAGGGCACCGAAGATCAAGAGATCCCAAGACTCCAAGAGGAACTAACGTGTGTTTCATCCGATTTGCAGCGCACGTCCATCACACACAACAGCTGAAACTCCACCTGTGCGTTTCGAAACTCTCAATGTAGGTATCGCTAGGAGTAATCTCAGCTTTGCGGCGGCATAATGTCAACCTACAACCAATTGCTACACAGGAAATGAATGGTGTCAGGTTGGGTTTCTGAAGCGTTGCGTTAGATTTTATGCTTAGGTGGTCATAGGACTGGGTAGGTGCTGAAAAAAGTTAAGTAATTTACAGTATAGTTACTTCTATCAGCTTAGTTTGCTGAGTGTCGTGCAGTATAATATTCGCTTTAAGCTATGTAATGTATAGATAATAGGTGATCGAAGTTAGTCAGCATACAATAGGTTGTTGAATAGATTTGCTTATAATTTAAAATTTTAAACTATGTCTGCTTCCTTCGTAGATTTATACATGTTCTAGTAATAGTAATCATCGTATTTACACGATATTCTTTACTGTGTTGTGAAGTCCACCGGGCATACTACTGTACCATCGTCTTCCCGAATGTACGTGGTATAGGAACGACACCTAACATGTCTCTTGTCACACTCCGCTTGCCCTGGCTCCACACACGTGTTCAAGTTTCGAATCGTGTGTTAAGATTATTATAGTTAGCCTGAATGTTTTGGATCCTATCGTCGATGTTCGGCAATTTAAAAATACAGTGCAGTGTATTCTTGCTGAGGGGTGCTTCATGATGTGGCTTTGAGAAGCGCTGCAGAAGAATATCCAAATGTTTTTTTGGGGTTATATCGAGGAATACATGTTGACTTGAGTTGCGTTGCAATGTCTTGATGTTTGTTGTTTTCGTTTGTGGTGTAGCGAGCTTGTATTTGTTCTTTCACATTGCCAGATGTTTTGAGTCTACAATTTTTGTAAGTACTGTAACGTACTATGGAGGATCTAGAAGCAGTTCGGGACTTGGATCCCGTGGAAGTCCAACGCCGGTTTCGGGTGATGGAAGATGACCGGAAAGCGTACATAGATTCTACTAGTAATTCTATTCGCCTTCAAAGGTAGGAATATTGTGAAAACAATTTCTGTTGATTCCTAACGATGTAATCTCATTATTTTGCCCTAGGTCGATCTTAACACGACTAGAAGATGAAAAGAAAACGCTGGAACTTCAATTGGAAACGTGTAGTTCTTTGGAAGTGAATAAAAAGATACACGAACAGTTGACGAAATTGTCGGTGTTGCTGGAGCAGTACGATGGGTACTTGGAAGCCATCCAAAAAGCAGAATTGCAAGTGAGTTGACAGGTGCCATTCGTGTGAATTTCTTTTGAAAACCGTTTATCCAACGAAAACTCAAAGTACCCCTTGAGGTATTTTTTCCCAGACCGCTTCTGGACATTCCAGATGCCTTAGGTTGCATTGTCAATGTTGAATTTTACAGTTTAAAATTTTTTTTGGACAAATGTAATTTTACGTAATTCTGATTTTCACTTCTGCTGGTATTTTAATTTTTGCTGTCGATTGCCGCCCTAGGTATAATTTTTTTATGACTGGAGGATGTGAATTAAAAAAAGGAACGATTTGTTTTGCGCAACCTTTTTTTTTCAAACTCTGTGTAGAAATCGAAATTTCGTCATTTAATCTCTGATATTTTCGCCGGCTAGTTGAAATGTTTATATGTAGTGCCTAGAAACCAGATTAAACGAAGGATTTAAATGCAGGTTCTCTGTTTATAGATAGAGAAACTCATACAAAACAATGGTGTCGTGGAGTCCGAAATACGAAATGTTGAGGCATCTATTGGAGGAGAATCAACCAACAGAAAAAAGCGGACTGATTTGCGAAAACGTGTTGCTGCGCTTGAAGATCGCGTTGAACACGTGAGAACTATTTATTAGACTAACGCTGTAAAGTTTCTTCTTAACGCAAGCTTTTCTTAGGCGACGAGGCAGCTGAATGGTCAACTAAGTTCGAACGGAAAGCTGAGGAAGGAAATCGAGGAACTAATGAGAGACAGGGAAGCACACTGTAAAATGACGAAACGTTTAACGGAAAAGTTCGCTAGGGGCTCCAAGCAACTACAGAATATCGTGAACCAGGTCTCGCAAATTTACGACCAACGGTGAGTCTTGTCGAATGCCGCGGCACATTACGGTATTATACGTCCTTGACAATAAGTTCAAATATCAGGGCTTCGTTTCAGAAAACGCATAGATGGTAAAAAAAAAATTATAATGAATCATCGTTAATCTCCTCAATTTGACGCACTGTAGTGAAACTGTTCGTATGTACTATGCGTCCTAATTAATTTTCGTTAGTGTTTGTTTTATATTGTTGATTTGTTATCCTGTCCGATTGTGACTACAGTACTGTAATTATTAAGCAAATAAACCAAAAGATGCTTGAGAACGGAGAAACGTCGATTCAAACTGCGCTACAATTGTTTTTGTTTTTAGAAAATTTGTGACTTGAAAGGCATTCGAGTGATACAGGAATTTTATTATACAGTCAGACCTCCGCAACTCAGACCTTCACTACGTCGAAAGCCTCCCTGACTCGTATTTTGTTGTAGCCCCAACTCCCAAGCATATTTTGCCGTAGTTTTCCTAACCTCTCTGAACTTCTCTAAGTGTAAGTTTATTCTGCTCCTCGAAAGGCTCTGAGAGGTCCAATCTATTTCATTAACTGTAAAACTATAAATACTGAGACCGCTGGCTGGCTTTCATTCTTTTGAAAGTTAATTTTTGCAAATAAGTTTGAGTTGAGAAAAACTGACCTCGTGGTATCATATAATTTTGTCAAGATTTCACAGAATTTTTAAATTTTATTAGAACTTGAATGATGTGAGCTAAAAAGCCAATTTATTCTTTGGTATTGCCGTATACATTTGACTCATAAGCTTCAATATGATGCACAGAATGGAACTCCAGTCTTTTTTCATTCCTCCTGACTTTGTTAGAATTCAATTTTTCACAACGTATTCATCAGATTTAAGTTGTTTTTAAAACTTCGAATGAGTGCATTTGAGGCGAAATCGTATTTAATTTTTATTTGAACCTGAATTAAAATTAGTACCTTCCTTAGTTTTTGAAATGCAGTAACTCGATTTGAAAATTGGAAATTAAAAAAAGAATTTATTGAAGATTGATGAATGATGCAAACCACTCCTTTTCATTAAATTCTTAGAGGAAGTGTGCGCGTCATACTCAAGCGATTCCTTAGTTTTCGGTTTTGGGAAATTTGACTGATTATATTAATGTCCCACGCGTTTCTTTCGCGTTCAATTGAAGTAATCATCTGATTGGAGTCGCTCGGTCTCGCCGTTTTCATTCTAGGGACGAAATTGAGTCGCGACTGAAAACGCTGAAACAGTTGGAGACGGAAGAGGCCCAGTCTTCGGCTGCAGAAATTCAGCATCTCAGACGAATCTTGACGGAGCAAACTCGACTGGAAAAGTTCCTCATGCAAAAATCTGCTCCCCGGATTGCTCCGTCGCACCTGCATCGCACGCCGTCACCGGCCGTCCCTTTCTTTGCTGCGACGGCTGTCACGACTATGAAACACGAGGCCAGACAACAGGATTCCACCATTACTGACGACCAAAAGTGGGCTGCTGGTCGGCGAGTGAGTTACAGTGATCTGACATCTTGCGGGAAGATGTTGTACGAGCTTGTGTCTCTGGTCACGGGTTCAGAAGAAGCCTCTGCTGCCGTGGGACAAGATCCAATGTCCGATGCGGATCATTTGGTGTCGTGGTTTGTGAAGCGAGAGGAAGAAAATATGGCTCTTTATTCGTACATCAACGAGCTCAGCAACTCAACTTCTGAAATGGAGGCAAGATTTTGTTGCTGTCTGTTTCAAGCGTTGAAATATCGCAGAAATTCGTCGGAGTTTAGGATGGATACATTATGTTGAAAATACCTTGAAGAGGTGAAAATCTACCATCAACCCTTGATTTAATGCGCCCCTTGCAAAGTGCCACAAATGTCCCTGGAACAAATCTCCCTCTATTGTGTTCTTCAACACAAACCCAACTCACTTATGTTGCAAACTTTTTCTCTGCATGAAAAATGGACAAAATTCAAAGCAATCGAAGTCTTTTCTAGGTATTTTATCAAATTATTACTGAGAATCACATTACCATGCTTGCAGAATACCTGAGGAAAATGAAAAAAAAAAAACTTATTTCTGAATTTACATGTCACGTAGGGTGGCATTATTCGGATGTACTCCACAGTGAAGAGCATTTTCTCAACAAGGATAGCTTTTTCGAAAAGTAAAATCATTCAACTTACCATAATCTTCAAATTGTTTGCTTTCATTGAAAGGTATCCACAAAAATTTGAGGAACAGCTCTGCTCTTTTTATTTGACACAATACAGGTTAAAATCAAATACTGCACTGGTGGACTCTCTCTCTTTCTCTTTCTACAATAATCTTATCTACAACGATTTTCTCTTTATGGCATATCTTTTTTGCTCCCACAGGATTCTCACCCCGTGTTTTAATGGTTCTTTACGGCAAAATCCTCCCTACAATGAATTTTTTCTTGTCCCTTAAATTTATATACAGCACAGCATTCTGTATTATTAATTAAATTGAATACTGTACTGTATAAAAACAGGGAATCTGAGCTTTAAATTATAATAGTTTCTTGTGGTTTTCTTTCTTGTGGAAACAGACATAATGGTCTAAGAATTCTACAAACAAGCATATGTTGCCAATAGTGGAGGTTCTCAACTAAACCCTACTTGCATACGATCCCTTTTTAGTACCACTCCTGCTTAATGCCACACAATGTGCCAGGATAAATGATGACACCAAAGCAAGGGTTGACTGTAATTATTTTACGCATTTTCTTTAAAATCCGACAAGCTGTGGGCGTTCTGTTTTATTGAAAGCAAGTCTTCTGAAGATAGGAAGTGAAATGTCATATTTTGTGGAAAACTTGAATTAACAATTGTATTTTTTCGTTGCAGGATGCAATCGTTGAAGTGAAGCAAGAAATCTCGGAGTTGAGAAATCGTGGTAATCTGGCTCAGACTGATCGAAAGGAAGAACGTGTCGCAATGGAGGTATGATTCTCTATCTACTATTCTACTCTATCACTTCTGCTTTCGTAGTTCCTCTCTTAACTCATTTGTATCTCTTACTTATCCTGTCAGGAAAGAGTGATGAAAGCAAAGGTTGAAACGGAAGAAATCTGGCAGGAATTCGAATGCACCGAAACGTTGTTCTCGGACATTTTGTGGAAAATCGAGGCCCTTTTCGCTATCGCGGATTCCTTCGGCCTGCCACTCATTGAACTGCTTGGTGGGCAAACAAAAGTGTCCGCGGCGAACGCCATGGTGTATTTGAGCGTAATTGAAAAACGCGTCGTCGAGTTGCTTGAAGCGAAACGAATGTTGACGGGTGCCTCACCTTCGCCTCACATCGAACCTTCGTTCGTGGAAGAACATAATTTCTCTGTTGGAGGGAAATTCAAGGATGATGTTGGGAAAGGAAAGTGTTTCGCCCCGGAAATCAGGTAATTGAATAATTTTTATCTATTGTTTATTGGGTCCGGCAATCTTTGTACCGTATTTATTCGAGTATCACGCGCTGTTGAGTGAGATGCGCATTTTAGTTTCAAGTAATCGAAACTCCTATTTTAAAAGTCGTGTCGGATGAAATATAAAGCCCACTTGAAAAATCTAATTCAATGGCGATACTTTTGTTTTATGCAAATAATACTTGTGATAATATTAAATCGGAGAAGTCTGAAAAAAAAATAAATTGAAAGTTGGGAGAACAGTTTCCAATTTTTAAAAATTCTCTTGCAAATTTTACCCGAAAATTTTGCGCACAAAAATTTTGCGCACCTCGTTTTCGCTCAAAGTTTCTTCGAAAAAGAAGAAGAAAAGGTGCCTGTGGTATTCGGGTGAATATGGGATTTTGATATCACGAATTGGGTTGCGCGTGTTTCTTTTCAGAAAATAAGTATCACGTTCGCCCCAAAAATAGGGTCTATCCTGATTTTTTTTTAAATTTGGGCTATGAAGAGAAAAACACGTATTTCCGGATCGGAAGAGAAATCAGCTAATTTTGATGGAATTTTCAAACGTCATACAAAATTGACTTGCTAGTTCTGATCAGTCAATCTGAGTGGCGTGAAGCTTTAATTTTGATTAGCTTAATTTCTCCAACCTGATTGACGAATTTATGATTTTTTCCTTCTTGAACAGATTCGTGGAATATTGGATGAGAAAATTGATCCTGTATTTAATACCGTATTCGTATACTGTAATACCCAATACATTCTGCCTGTGAATGAAAACCCCTCGTTGAGTCAGAATTTTTAGACTAAATTCAGGTCTTACTTGATGTTTTTGGATAATGTTTTATCGAAATTTTTCTCTTGTCTGCCTTTTTTTTTAACGAAATTAGAAGAAAACTGATTTCAGAAGTGATTTAGTTGAACTTTTTTTTTAGTACACATCTACTTTTTATGTTTCTTCGCTTTCGAAGTATTGTAATAAAAAATTCCTGTCCACCCTGTCCAATTAATATTTTATCTCACAAATAAATTCCAATCAAACTCATTTCTGTTCACCTGTCCGGATGAGTTTTTTTCGCGTATTGAGCACAGATTTAGACTGCAGTGCAAATACCTTCGCCATTTTGTTCGAGACAGAAACGCCCACAAGGTTCCATTAATTTTTTGTTCTGTGCTCCTCATATTTTGGATATTTATTTTTTTCAGATGAGTTTAAGTATTTGCCAATCGAATGAAAGGGGCGGGACCCGTTCTGTCGATGAAGGATGCCATTCCCAGGGGGAAATCATTCTGAGGATAATTTGTGGTTCTACTTTGGGAAACATTCATGGTACAAAGTCTTGTGATGAGGGGTGTGAACTTCATCACACCTAAGGTGTATTTTCAATAACCTTCGTGTACTGTTCACTGTACAAATATAAAGTAATTAAAATCAAAGATCTGTAAACGTTACATTCGAAAAGCATTCTATGTTTCCGGTGATTAACGGCTTGATATCCCCATTCGGTTCTGCAGGGAAGAAGAACCGTTGATGGGTGGAATGGATGCCATTAATGATGTGAGCAGGAGGACTTCCACTGTGTCAATGCCACTGCCGACGAACCGTGAAGAGGTCGTTAATTTGATATGTAGATCAGTGTCACCCGCTGCGTCGGATGTTGTCATACCAAGATCTCGATCACGCACAAGTACAACAAAAATGTAATGCAATCGCGAAATCGCGGCCAAATGCAAATTTCCCCATCATCCTTTCGGATATCATCATAATCTGTCCATTCAATTGTTGTCAGTCTTGTTTCAGTTGCTATTGAAACAGCCGAGGCATCCATACTCATGTACTCAAAAAAAGTACAGCACTGTATTGGGCATTAGAAGTTCATTTTGAAAATAGCAACTTCTGCTGCAGATAGAGTTTGAAGTGTTCTGACCTAATTAAACCGCTTTCGACGTTGCGAATCCATATAGTCAAATACGATCTCGAAAAATATTTCGGTTGGAAAAGTTTTCGAAATGTTGAATGTCGATGTTGAGAACGTTTCAAAGAAAACTGGGCGAAAACGAAGACCGGTTTGGTGATTTTATTGTTGTGTTTCAAAGACATGTGAAATCCATTTCCGTCCAGAATGTTACGAAGATGTGAAGCATCAGATGCGCGTGTTTTCATTGCTTTCAAAAGTTAATGGATGTTCAAATCTTCTTCGATTTTTTTTTTTCATTTTCATCAATTCATCCATGTGTTTTCAACTGGAAGTAAAAGCTTATTTGGTTTATACAGAAGTCGATTATTTTATTCAGACATTCATCGGCTTAGAAAAATGCCAGACGGTAAGTTGTATGCGGGTAAGCTTACAGATGGCATCAAAATCGAAAAAAATTGTGTCTTCGAAATTAAATGAAATGATTGAGAGGAGGTGATCAATTTTGCGGTAGTATTCCTCCTAGAAAATAATCTCGTACAGTATTACCCATGTCTATTTTTGTGATCCGAAATTTGCAATCATTTTGTGTTTGCCGCTGGGTCCGATCGTCTTTTGGAGTCCCCGCGAATAAAATTAACAGGTTTCCGGCGATTTTGAACAAGTTTTTTCTCTGCGACGCACGAACCTTATAGTGTACTATGAAGTTCTTGAACGATATCTGCGCTTACGGTCGCTGGTTCTCTCGTGCCGACTTTAGGAAATGCGTTGGGGCCTGTTCTTCGGTCGAGTCCACCCGAAAATAATAGCACCAGGAACTCCAATCCTTCGTAAATAGATAAGACGGAGATTCCCAGCAATAACCCCGCGTTTCCTCCAAGTTCTCCGAAGAGCTGCATAAAATGAATCATTCTGTCTTGAAGAAAGCTTTCAAGAAAATTCTTACTGGCAATGATATTCCATGTTTCAGTTTTTTTACTGTCCATATGAATGGACCTTGTGGGGGAAAAGATCTATTAAATCGTGGGGGTCGCGGAGTGTTTCTTCGCATGGATACACGACATATACGAGTGTTTTCTTGCTGTTACCTGAATTATATCAAAACTCCATTGCTCCGTGAAACTTTCGAATTCGGACGAAGGGAAATAGCCACGGATCACCACGAAATTGGTCCTGTTGACGACGCTTATGTTCGCGATGTCATTTGATGTGGTTCCGATGATTGCGGATGATCCATCATTGACGCGGTTTTGAACTAAATGCGCTGTGTACCGGATCATTTCGCACCTTCTCGGGCATCCGCAATTCTTCTCCAACTCAACCAGTCTTCCTTGCTTATTATTCCACATCCCGCCATATGCTCGAGTATAGGTTTCGAGTTCCGAGGGTGTTGCGCATGTGTTCTTCTTTACATTGTCGTAATTCGCCGTTGGCAATGGAATGGAACAATTGAAATACTCCGAAGACATCACACAGTCCTCCACGCACTGGAACAAAATCCAACCGTCGAACATTGATTAAAAAAAATAATTTCAATATTCAATGTTTTGAGAAAAAAAGTTGTATCCTGAATATACACACTGCACGTAAAATTTACCAAAAAAACTTTTACCACTTATGCACAGAAGAATTTTCTTTGAATCACCTTCACGTAGGTGTACCCAGGTTCTTCCGTACACGGAGAATCGTCCTTGTTTAAGAAACTCAAATGTTGCGCTGTAAATTGGACGTAAAGTTGATTGTTCGTGGGTTCAAAAAAGTGATACGGCTTGTACGAAATTCTGTCCAGATCTGTGATTTTCGCCGAGTTCTGATGAAAGTAAACGAACCAGCCGATGTCTGATGCTGATATAGTCTTTCCCTGCCGAAAGATGACTGGTTTTCCTGGTGGAAAACGTGAAGGTGAAATCAGGCTGGAAATTTGACCACGATGTGGCTGTCATTATTTATTTATTCACCGTTGACGCTGAGAGATTTGTAGGGGATTTCAAGTCTTATGACGAACATTTCGCTGATTCCAGCTGACATAGACACGTTCGGTCTGAAGCAAAAACATGCCCGAATACTTGCTAAGTGAAGTCTTTTGTACCACTGAATTGTCCACTCTCCAGCTGCTGTTCTTGCTTGGGCTGTGAAAGAAGAAAAATGTTGCATTCCGCCAATTATGTATAAGAGCAACACACGACATGAGGGTATGGAAGAACGGATTTACCAGAATTTTTTCCAGGAACGCAATTCGTTGACGCCAAGTTGCATCCAGTAATTATTTCTTGCGGTCTGTAACCTATTTTGGTCAAGTATTCATTCAGCAAAGATGAATTGCGTTGAAATGCTAGTTGGAGGAAATCCGTTGCTGGTGATGTGACATTCAAGTAATCCCAGGATTCAATCAACTGCTGAACTTCTGCCAAGTTCATCCCTGGTTCAGGACAGATCGTGACACTCGGAGGTGTCATTGTCTCATTCTTCACCACGGCGAATAGGGTTGAAGATGGCTTCGATAAGTGCTTGTCAATTGAGAGGTACGACTAAAAGATTAATTCAGACACAACCACAATAATGAGTATGATCTGACTGTCAAATACAGTACTACACAATACCTGATGTTCAGGAGTGATTTAGGTTTTGATTTAATGACAATTTCCGTAGGAATAAGACTGATCAAATACGAGGGGCCTGTGAAAATGATTTCCAATTTTTGAATAAAAATATTGCGCTTGTATAATTTAAGATTGCTACTGCTGCAAACAACTCCGATTCTGGCTGAAGAAACATCGAGTTCTCCCTACCAGGTGTACTGTATTCTTTTCAGCACAGGTACGGGACTATAATACAATATTGTACTCCTGCTGTGCATGAATCAGGCATATTCGGGTTCGGATGAATCGGTAATACTGCATATTCGAGAAAGCGAAGTATCGCCTCGTTTTTGTGATGGCGTAAATAGCGCCGTGCGTGCCGACGTCTGAAATTATTCGCGATGGGTGTCACGGCTTATACTGTAGTACATGATGTGCGTCATGCATCAAGGTGTAAACCCTGAAAGTGATGAACAATCAGCGGTTGAGTGACTCACTTGAATGAACGTAAGCGCTGTACATCCAGAAATAAACATAATCCAGATAAGGACTCTTCCGGCTGTTCTTTTTCCAGCAATCGAACTGATGATGAGCATTACTGAAGAAAACGAGCGATTGTCACAATCATGAATTCCATAAGTGTAAATTCTATATACTAACGCAATTCAAGTTTATTATGATTTGTGTGTTTCTCTCGTGTAATGTTGCTGCTCACCGCGTTCTGTTCCACTTTCCGTCCCATGTTTGATAGAACTTGTGCTCATTTTGCTACCTCTCACATGATGTTCTCCAGCCGTTCAGGAACTCAATTATGAACGTAATCGATAATAATTAGCGAACAAAAACTGCGACGTGATGACATGTATGTTATATACGGGAGCATTCGGTCCGAATCAGCTTCTATCTATCCTTAGAATTGACTACACTTACGCGCTCAAATTATATTCGGTTGCCGTCCGTATGTTTACTCGCCTGAGACGCCCTTCGATCAGCGACGAAGTGTTCAGCGCTTATTTCAACTTGCAAAATTCATCGACACTATTATACTTAGTAAACGTTTTGACATCATCATGTAATGGGCGGCGTAAAAACCATGGAAAATAAAATGCTCAAAAGAAAGCCATAATGATTCAGTGTTTAGTCTATTCAAGGGAGAACGTACGTTGAATGAATACACAGCAGCGTGTCATGTAAAGAAGGGCGTATGGAATAAGAACGTTTAATTGATTATAATTATCTCACTTATGAAATAAAGTGATGAGCCATGAAAAATCAATGACCAAATTGCGGATGGAATCAGTCTTGCTGATGACTGTTTTCCGGTAGCATTCTGTCGAAAAATTAGTAAGATATTGGATAAACCATGAACTACGAACAGGCGAATTTGCGATTGGATTTATTTCCTTGCAGTGTCATGTTTTCTTAGCAGCCGAGCAACTGATCGGTCCAATCAGGAAGAGCCAGGTTATTGCAGTGAACAGAGTATCCGTCGACAAAAGCATTCTTGTAATCCGCGTTTTCCAAGAGCCACGACAGTGAAGAACAGTCACAATCCAATGGATTTCCTGGAAATTAAGAAGGTTGAATAAAGTCTTCGTCCTTATCCATGCTGAATGGCATGACGTCGTCATGCAGGAGCAGGGACATGCATTTTTGCACACTTCTATGTCATCCAATAAATTATTTACTCTGTATGAGACGCCTCGTCGAATTTCGAGTTTAATACAGTTCAGTATGAGCGCGATAAGTCGGTTTTGTTTCAGTTTTTAGAATTTAGAGAATCGACGACAACTTTGCTGCAAAACTACTTTACAACTAGCATCGAGGGATGTTTCGTTGACATTCTGGATAGTTACGAGCTTTCTTCAAAGAAAATTATGTTTTATTACGGGTCATGATAATGTCAAAATTAAAAATACAACGACGTGCCGAACTGCACCTACATCATAGGGTCGTTAGAAATTGTTAAGGAAAAAACTTGGATTCTCGAGGTCCACCACGTAATCTTGGAGGATTAATCATTCATCATACAGTAATATTCATTTGCGTAAATATGAAAATTTGGCGGCTGAACACGAGCTGTATATCTTACATATACAGAAATATTTTTTACAAACCTGATACGAATAATCCCGGACAACCATTCGACACCATTTGAGCAGTAATTGGTTCGAAAGCTGCAGCGGATAGTTCTGAAATCTCGTTCATGTCCAAGAAAACCTTCGGGCAACTGGTTCCTGGGACTGCAATAAAATAGCAATGATTACTTTTTTTTCTAGATAAGCCACTTCGGTGAACATTATGACGGAAATTTACAGGAAAACGCTCCTGCTGGTAAATCGGCGATATAGTTTGAGTGCAAGTCGACGCTGATTCTTGAACTCGTGCTGTCAGTAAGATCGAATGTCCCGGGTGAAATCGTGCTTAAGGAATTGTGGTGCAACGAAATTTCTTCCAAGTACGGCAGGCCCTTCGTTAGTCCCGTCGGCAAAGAGCCAAGGCTATTTGATTGCAGGTAAAGTCTTTCCATGTTCGGTGTTCCTTGAAGGAGGTTATCACTTATTTGACTGATCTGGAAAATAGACATGTAATGAAATTAATGATGATGTACCTCCATTCAATATGGAATGCGAACTAACGGTGCCTTCTCTGATGCTCTTCATATATACCCAGGAAAGTCCATCGAATAACGCCTCTTTGAGATCATATTATCAATGCTGACATCATTTTCGCAATTTATTCATATGGTTGGTGCTGGTGTAAATTAGTCAGATACAATTAAGACGTGTGCTTTGCTTGATGTACAGTAAAATTCCGTTAACCACTGTGGTTATAACGAGTTTTAATTACGACTGCAGTAATTTTTCTTGGTCCCAGCAGTTTTTCCTTATAGGCGCCATGTTATATTAAAATCTTGATTTAACTATTTCATTTTGGCTGTAATTGTAGTGCAAGAAATGTTTGACCTTCATTCTGTGCATAGGCCATATGGAGTATTGGATGTGGTAAAAAAAAATTGAACAGGTGCAGCATTCCAACTTCACCAAATACTGTATAAATTTAACTTTATCCAGAGAACGTTTAATTTCCAAAAAATACAAGTATACAACATGAAATATTTCCTGAAAATTCTGCAGCACCATTCTAGAATGGATGTCTTTCTTATGAAAAAAAATAGTAAGTTGGAATATTTTTTCCTATTCGAAAGAACAGGAATGAATGAATGAAATTGATTCAGAGGGAAGTATTCCTGGAACATGTACTTTTTTGAATTTTATTTTGTAAGACTTTGGTAGGAAAACATGTTCAAGAAAAGGGAAAGTACTATACACATCATATTCAAAAATTTTTCTCTTCATTTCACCAGCTACTGAGAGACTTGAAATTTATGACTGGTCATGAATTATCTTCAGTTGAAGCAATTCACAGTATTTATAACCCCTTTCGAAAAACGTTCAGTCTAAAATTTGTTGAAACTTTGAATCATCTCAATACAATGAGTTTTTCATTATAAAGAATTTGCATCAGGTCCCTGCTGGGGGTTTGTTTAGTGATTATAGATTTTACAGTGTGTATTATGACATTCATCATTCAAACCCACGTCAGAATACCTGATTCAGTTCAAAGTCTGCAAAGAGCAGACTTGGATAGTTGAGCCCCGGCAACGACGTCAAACTATTGGCCTTCAAATGCAATGCCTCCAACTTGGGCAAAGGAACATCGAACGGGAAATCCGTCAAGGCGTTGTAATTCAACACGAGTCCGGTCAATACGTCAGCTTGGTCCCTAAGAACGTCTGGATCAATGGAACTCAGCGAGCAAATATCCACGGTGATGGACTCGAATTTCATGGACCCGAATACGCCAACTGGAAGTGAAGAAAGTGTGCAATATTCCGCCACAAAGGCGGCCATGGTTGTGACCGGAAATGAGGCGGTTGAGAAGATTTCCCGGAGTCTGGTGTCTGAAATTTCGTCGCGGCAATAGAAAGTGTGCTCGTCGTCCCACTGATTGTAGCGGCATTCGCAAGGAGTGATTTCTGATGGTGGGGGACACCCTGGATCCGGGGCGATTGTTGTGCCCCATTGGCTCGAAATTCCGGCGGGGCATAAGACGAACGTTGCCTGGAATTAACATTTTAAAATAAATAAATAAAAAGCAGTCAAATTTTGTTTTCAAGTTTAACTCGAAGAGAAGTACAAAAAAGTTTAGTCCGAGAGTCTTTGCGTTCGTGAAAAACATTTTTGCTGAGAAAAAGGGAATATAAATTACAGGAAGGTAACATTGGTGCTATTCTGGGTCTTGAAATTCTAAATAGATGAGATGACATTATACTGAACTTCGCGACAACGGTGTATTTTTCCCAATTATAGTCACTCAATTATCTTTTAAAAACATCAAATTACATTTTCATAGCTCTTATTCGTCCTAGATCCTCAGAATAATAGTTTGAACGCCTCCTACAAATTTGAGTTACGGAGATTTGAGGGGGAAAAGTATAGAAACGTTGGGGAGGACTTAATTTCATTGTTATCTTGGGGAATTCAGACCTGATGGACGAATCAAAAACTTATGACTTATGGAGGGAGGCTGTTTGACTGAGCCAGGTCCAACTGCACATGTAATTATCCCGAGTATATAAACAATTTTGTTAAATCCCTGGATTTCAATTAATTTTGTGAGTATAGCCATAATTCAGCATCTCAATATATTATTTAGAACATAAAAATGAAATTAGTATGAACCTGAATTGTAAAAAGACTTGAGGTGATAATTTAGACGGAGAAACGTAATGATCTGCTGAATTTGAGAAAATCAATGCTATGATACAGAACAACTTTTGAATAAATAAATAGGAAACGTATTCGTCAGATAATAATTCCGGTAAATTTTATTGAAGAAGGAGCGAAACGTTTGTGAAACCTCTTCAAATTTGGAGTTAATCACGAATTTTGTGTTTTTGCCTTCCGCGCGCGTTTTGAGGACGCATTTTGAAAAATTAATTCTACCTCAGAAGAGAAGAAATACTTTTTGTGAACCATCCTTTGAATGTAGAAAATTCATATGTGATTTTGATGTGATTGGGAAATATTTACCAATAGAAGTCCGAGCTGCATTTTTCCCGTAAAACTCATATAAATTTAGCGCGATGTTTTTATTACAACTTCACTGAAGCTAATATAAATGCTCGTATCACTTTTATTTTTTCTTCGCTGTCGCTTTTACGTACTTTGTCTCTGATAAGAACACTATCAGTTTGTTTTCAGACTGACAGTGAAATATTAAAAGTTGAAACAGATATTTTTGAAAATTGCTGTTGAGGTAGGTGTGAGAAACGCTCAGGTGGGCCGAAAAGCTGCGAGTTCACGGAAGTAGAGGAGCGGACTCTATGTAAACGTATAAGAACTAAAAAATAACGGGCATTGTATCCACCCAAGAATTGCCCAATGTCTTGAGAATTTCTGGCTACCCCAGGTTATGCATCAACCACTGGGTGACCATGAAAGGGATGTTAAGTAATAATTAATAAGCCGTTGATGGTTCAAACTAAGTACAGTAGATGAAAAAGAAGTTGAAGTAAATTATTCTAAAGAGTAAGCAAACTTTTTCTAAGATTATTGAGAAGTTTTATGACGCGATAGATCTGTGAAAGAGGAATACATTTAGGAACGTTTCAAACGAGGAGATGTCACCTCGCCAACACTTTTCATTGACCATGAAATCCCCTCAACGCCGGTAATTCCTTTTGGCGGGTTGCTGTGGAAAGTAGACTTGTGACGAGGTCATTTCATTTAGGGAAAACCATATCCTTTGTGTCGAAGGGAAACTGAAATCTAGGGATCAGGAAGTCATTCTTCATTCTGAAGCGCCAAGTATCTCTTTGAGTGGTTGGCTTTGATTGTTGTGTTCGTGCGTTGCAGGATCAAGAACGTGACATTCTACGAACAATACGTGAAGCTCTGCGTGAATTTTATCGTGTGTGATATTTTTTCTCGGCACGAAAATTTCTTGTCGCGCGGCGGCATGGCTTTTGCCAGGTCGACGCCGGGGGCGAAAGCCACGGTGGAGAAGCATGTCTCTGATCTGCTGAATCGCGCCAAAAGCGATCATGAGGTACGAATTGAATGAAATCAGATCTGAAGTAACTGAAATATTTTAAAATCATGTGGATTTATTGTCGTAGCGGAAAAGCATGGGCCTTGTCATCGCCCGACAGTACATGAAGGTCAACGATTATTCCAAAGCGAGGCAGCATCTCGCACAGTATCTCTCAGTGGAAGGAACTAACAAAGAAGCTCATCGTTTGCTCGGATCAATCTTGGCTTGGGAACGGGAATATGAATCGGCGCTGACCTCTTTCAAACGTTATTATGAGTTCGGTGGTGACGACAAAGAACTGCTCCTGAGAGGTATGCTTGAATAAGAAAGCGTTGGTATTCTATTTATGAATTGTCTTGATTTCCAGCGTGTGAAATTTGTGCGCTATGCTCGGATTCCACTGTGAAAACGTACGGAGACTTTTGGAGCACCAAGGCTGAGAAGGTGCACGGCACAAAGCCGCAAGTATTCTCCTTGAAGGAACGCATGACTTCTGTCGGTGACCATTCTGCTGGGAAGGTTGAAGTTGAAAAACTCATTCGAAGTAAGTGTGCACTTCTAGAAACTTTTAAGATTGAAGTGCGATTCACAGTTACAAATTCAATTCTCTTTTTTTCTATAGCTGAGCTTGGTGGCCATCCTCTTGATGAGCAGCTGTGGATCAAACTCCTTGATCATCTTGTTGCAAACAAGAAGGTAGTGGAGGCATATGCTGAAGCTTTTAAATTGGAGCATCGGAGAATACCGTTTCCTCTATCATTCAAGTGGCATAGCATTCTGAAAAGAGTCTGCGAGGTAAGTTTTCACTACTGTTCAGAGCTTCTTCTTGGTGAAAGATTTTGATAGACCTTGTTGAGGAGTTCAGTGAATTTTGACTCACTCTTTCAAGTAATCTTTGCCGACCTCAATTGAAATTTATGTGATTTACAGTTCGCAATGGAACAAGAAGTTAAGTAACCCAACCTAATCTCAACTGACCTGACCTGTTGCGTAGCTCACCTGACGCATAATTAACCTACAATAAAACCTGTTTTTATAATGTCAGCATTGATCAAGGCAAATCAAGTGGAGACCTGATGAAGAATAAGAAGATGGTATCATGAAGAATAGTTCTTGGAGTACATTTTGGTGATCAAGTAATTTAGAAACAGATTCAGAGTTACTACCATACTTTACTCTTTCTGAGGTACAGTATTCAGAAAATACTTGTGATACTCTTGTATTTCACTGAAACTACCTCAAAGCACAAGCATGCCCAGAAAATCTTGCTTAGGTCAGTTCTTTGCTAGATCATTTTCATGGTTGTTCACATACTTCACACCAATTTTTCAACTTGTTTCGTGTAGAGTGCACGGTGATTTTAAATTTTTGCAATTCTTCATAGGCGTGCCAAGAAAAATCTCCTGAATCCGATTTTGGCACGGACTACACATTCCACTTCAATTATCTATGGACCCTGGATAGCCTACTATTTCTCTCTATCGGCCGCGAAACCATAGATAAATCATCGGGTCACACGGATGAAACTGCCTCGGATGTACAATCCCTCATCGCCGTCTACAACTCAGCCTTGTTCAAAGCCTACAAGGTTATGAATGAGGCGAAGATGAAACCCCGGTGGTTCGAAGAGAGCTTAGTGATGTTCGCATCAAGCCTACTCTGCAGTATGGGTGCCATGCTGATCAAGATGGTCACGCAAGGACATTTCCAATGGTCCGAAGCGTTCCCAATGTGTGCCCATTTGTTTTGGTCGAGTTATTCTGTTCCTGTCAACGGTGTGAGTCCGGCATTCATGAAGGAGATCCATGCTCCCCGAGCTCTTGAGAATGCTGTGAAAACGCTTCTGGGCGTCCGGGCACATTTTCGAGCCTCTCAAGCAGGTTTGTAATTAATATACGGCTTTATATACTGGGGTCCTGGACGACGAACCTAATCAGTTTCAGCTCTGGGTTTATTCTTCAAGGCATTCGTTGTCTCAAGACGTGATTTATCTTTGTAAATCTAGGGGAAATCATTCAGTTGAGTTCCAGCCCGAAGGTTAACTAAGGTAAAATGAAGAGAATTTACCGTGCATGAACGGAATGCAAATTTAGTTTCTTTCCTCATTTTTAATTGGAATATAATCTCATGAAAAATTTCGTAACTTCAGAAATATTTTTATTACATTTGTTGTTGGGGTTTTTTTTCTTGTCTTGAGCTTTGTTCCTCAAGTCAAGGTGGTTGCTTAAAGCAAATTGGTCGCCAAAACTTACAAGCAACAAATATCCCAACAAGGTTGTTCCTTGTTGGGATGTTTGTTGCTTGAGGCCCCTTTGTTGAAAGTTCTGAATATTCCAAGGTCGTGTGTGAATCGATTTTTTTTTAAATGAAGATATGGTTTTCTGAAATCTTGTCCAGATTATGGAATAGTTCTGCTGACATCTACAGTGGAAGATATCTCCGATGATATCAATCCGTAAATTTTTGAAAAGTTTGCTGAAGTCAAAATAAAACAATTCACTACACGACTGCGATAAAAAGTTCCTTCCTTGAGTTTAACTTGGCCGTTACACAGTATTTGTTCAGGTGATACTGTACATCGTTTGCACTTTGCATCGTACATTACATCATGATTCATCCTTTTTTCATTCTTATTTTTCAACTATTTTGTGTTGCCGATACGCATAAAATGATTTTCCTGTATTTTATGTAGCTCTTCTAAACTCCCAAGTCTCTAGATCGTATTTCAAGTTGAAGTGGCTTTATTTTACAACTCGCATCCATTTTCGAACGTCGTTGGTTGAACAAAACAAGTTCCCAGAGAGCATGACAAAGCAGTAACTTTCTCACAGTCAAGGACAAGTTTCTTCAATGCCTCTTATTAGAACTTGTTAAAAAAGATGTAGCGAAAGGTTCTCAAAAAGAAAAGAGATGAATCATGGATCGCTCAATCGGTCTTTTTTCCAAAGGAGTCGCAAACTCGGCCTGTCTCGTAGCGCTTGACAGATTAATGCTTTCACTTCTGAGACCCTTGCACCACAATTATTTAGCTCAGTAAAAATGAGTGTAGGAATCAACGATTTGAATCTATACAGCCAGAAAATTTCTGACGATGCATCTTGTCGCTATATGTTTGTTGAAATTTTTTTAAATACAAAACTCGTCGAATCAGTAATTTTCTATCACTTCCGCAATGCCAAAAACAAGTACAGTATTCATCAGGTATTTTTGAGCCTTTGTTTTGGTAAGGACTAAATCCGCATAAAATTCATGACAAATCACCGACTTGAACCCCACATTGAATAGTGGTCAAGCCGCCCCGTGTCCTCTTCTACAAAGCTTTAGATGGGAAGATGGTGCGTAACATGATAGAAGCCCCTCGAAAAGTCAAGTGTTAATGAAGGCAGCATATTATCGGAAGTACTGTAAAGTACTGAAAACAGCTGGAAGAAATAGATCCACGAGAAGAAAACCGTCCTCGCCGAAAGGAAAACTGTTCCAATGACAATTTGAACATTCTCTGTCTGGAAGGCAACAACAAAATTATGGAAAATTTTCATAGCAAGAAAAAGAAAATTGACTCCGCATTTGTTTTGTTAGCTTGAGTCTATTTTTCGTTTCTCTAGCTTTTTCATTTGCGAATGCTGTCGAATCTTTTCCTTTGGTCTGTGAAAGAATATAGGTCGACTCTCCCTACAACGAGCTTGTCTAAAGCTATTTCCTCTGTAGAACGACTTGTTTTGTGGTCCCATAGAGTACTCTCCCCATGTTATTGGGGTTCTATATGACGAAACCCTCCCTGTAACCATTTTTCTTCGTAGTCCATTGAATTTATTTGTAGAGGGGTCCATTTGTAGCATCACATTTTTGACTTCCTGCATCTTTATAAAATGAAGCAAAATTGAATGTGAAACTACTTCTGTTCCGAATGTTGCCTATTTTCAAACCTCTCGTTTTTTTTCAAATGCCAAGGGTTTTTTCATCGTGCGTTGTGTGATCCATTATTCTATACTACGCAACTTGTGCTTGAAAAATTAAAAAAACGGAAATTTATTGTTCAGGTTTTGCTCGGATTGTTCGATCTGAAAATTCTCTGTTGATGAATTTATTTCTAGGACACGCTTTGGTGAATCTGAAGAAGTTGGAAAATGGCGAAGAGGAGCGACTTCACAAGGGGTACCATAGGTTTG